ATAAAGTTGTATCTCACATCCTCTCCGCTCCTCCTGTAATATTGTTCCCAAGGTTCCAGAGGAAGGTTGGAGATGTTCCGACCCCCCCCCCCCCCCCCCCCCCCCGCCGTTGTGTTTCTGAAGGTTTATCTTTTGCAATCTTGGGGAGGTTCTTTGCAATGAGCAGATTCCTGGACTCCTTCTGCCATGAGTAAAAGCTTGGCTGTCTTTGAGGGAGACCTCAGCCAACTTTTCCCCCAGTAAAAACTTCCACCAATTCTTTCAGGACTGTGCCAAAGAAACTCTTGGACAAAATTCTCGCTCTACAGCTCCCGCCAGGCAAGGAAACTGCTAAGGCTGGAAGGATTTCTAATTTCCTTTCTTAAAATTCATTATTATTATTATTATTATTACTGTTATTATTTGCTTTCGGTAAGCACCAACTGAGCAAGAAATTGCAAGCGTCCCACACAATTTCATTCCTGCCTGGTCCTTTCTGAACAATTTGTGCGCAGTTACTCCTTGCCTTACAACCGTTTGCTTAGCAATTCTTCCAAATTACTGTACAATGGCACTAAAATAATGACTAGTCCTCACACTTAGGATTATGCGACAGTCCCCACAAGTCACATGATCAAAATTCAGTCCCTTGGCAACTAGCATGTACTGAAGACAGTTGCAGAATCCAGGGGTCATGCAATCGCTTTCCTAGCTGGCTTCCAACAGGCGAAAAGTCACGAGGAGGACATTGGATTCTCCCCCAGATCCCATAATGAGTCCTGGTGGATCTTAATGGAGACTAAAACCTACGAAGAACGGATGAGGGCATTGGGGTTGGCCAGTCTAGAGAAAAAAAGGACCAGGGATGACCTGATAGCACTCTTCCAGTAGTCGAGGGGCTGCCACAATGAGGAAGGGGTCAACTCATTTTCCAAAGCACCAGAAGGCCAGATCAAAAACAACGGACGGAAACTCATCCAGGAGAGAATTGAGAATTGGAATTGAGGAGAAACTGACAGGACAGTTAATCAGCGAAACAGCTTTGCCTTCAGAAGTTGTCGCTGCTCCATCACTGGAGGTTTGAAGAAGAGACTAAGACGTGGAACCGTTCCCCACGTGATCCATCACAGATGGTGGCTCCCTTCTGATCCTCGAGCAGCCCCGTTTTGCAGAGGAAGGATCCAGCCAGCCTCTGTCTGAAGCTCAGCTGTCTCCAGAGCCTTTGCCCCGGCTTGAGCTCAGACTGTTGTTTGGAAGGAGGGAACAGCCCAGGGCTTTGCTTGGGGTAAAATTAGCCTCTGACCAGGCCCGGGGAGAATGTCCCTTTGGCCTGGGGCAGACAGCCCAGCCTGCTCTCTGTGGCCGAGTGGCACCACCTGTGCTCGATGTTGCCCTTCGGCTCCTCCTTCGCTCGCTCACTGCAAATGTCAGCACCTGTTTGCTGTTATTTGCCTCCCTCCCTCCCAGCTCAGCTTTCCGCCTGGATAAATATTAATGGGCGACCTCGAGGCGACTTTTTGCCCGGCCGAAAGGTGCCCTTTGGGGAGCGATTGGCTTCCTTTCTGGAGGCCGCTGCTCTGCTCCAGTTCTTCCAAACGGGATCCGTGTTAAGCGCAGCTTCTCGGATGCTGGCTTGTTATTCCGGTTGTTGGTCAGGCCCAGGCAGGGAGACTTTTGCCTTCAGCCGGGCTGTTGGGGTTCAACGGGAAGGGTTAAGGGTTCGAAGACCGACTGTCGTTTCCAGGAGCTTCAGCCAGCGGCGGGGATCGTGGGAACTGTAGTCCGAAACATCTGGTAGGTGGCAGAGGGGCTTAGATCTGCAGTAAATGACCCCTGACCTGGTTGAAGGAAAACGTCTAGCTGCTTTCACCAGCATGTACAATATTAGCAGTAAAAATGCAAACTCCCAACTGAGTTCAGAGCTGAAAGTTTGCCTCAATACTAGGAATACGCAGACAATTTGTGGGTCATTGTTTAGGCATATTTCCTTACCTAAACAGAGAAACAGGGAGACCGTAGACAGGCAAAAAAAAAAAAAAAAAAGCAATGCGGATTGACTTCCGACTTCCTGCAGGCTTCCCCACTGTCTTTCTTGATGGGAAGCTGGAAGTTGGAAATGCCAGTCATGTGCCCGTGGCTGCAAACAAACAGGACAGTTTTAATAGCACGATTATAGTGACCAATTGAATTAAAGATACGTTGCAGCATCTTGGTAGATCCCACCGTTGGTGACTCCAAGGGGCAGAACTGATGGCAGGGCTCACAAGGGAGGCCCAAACTGTCTGGGGAATTCTGGGAGTTGAAGTCCCCACGTCTTCAAGTTGCCAAGATTGAGAAAGATGGCTGGGATTCCTTTGCACGGCTCACAAAAAGGTGGATCTTTAGGCAACTTTGCACCACGGTTGGAATTCAATTGGCCCCAGTCATTTCTCCTTCTTTCTTCACACAAATAACGTCTCACAAAGCGCATTTCAGATCCTGTGTGAAGGTTTGGTGTTTTTTTTTTTTAAAAAAAACCATGCTCTGCTGTAGCTTCCAGCGAAAGAATGCGGGTCCTAAAGCCGCCAAGATTTTGATCCCAGAATAAACCACCTAAAAAAAGCCCTTGGTCGCTGCTTGGTCTCCCATCCAGCCCTCCTCTGGCTTTGAAAATGCCTTGAAGCCTGTAGATCCATTCTAACACGGAACATTTCTGTAGTGCCGTTTGAGAGTCCCTCCCGCCTCCGTTTCAACTTTTCCACCCCCAGCCCCCCACCCAGACATTAGCTGCCCTCCCCGATTTCCCTGTCCAGGCAGAGCAAAGGATCCCTGGTGGATCCGAGCGCCGACTTTGGTCTTGTGGGATGAGGTCACACAATCTGCCTGATCCCGCAGCCATCGTGCTTTCAGCACCGGGAGCCATGACATTCCCATGTGCAAAATGCAGTGCAGCTGTTGGGAGCAGCAGAGCCGAGGAGGCCGAGGTGGGTGGGTGGGTGGCGTTAGTGTGGGAAAGCTCCTCAGCCAGACTCTGTGTGTGTGTGCGCGTGTGCATGTGTGTGTGTGTGTGTGTGTGTGTGTGTGTGTGTGTGTGTGTGTCACTGCCTTTGGGGATCTCTGCTCCTCAGCTGGCTAACCAAAGCCAGGCTCTTGGTAGCCGTTCCCGCTGGCCTCTGGAGAGGCTCACCCCTCCCAACTTATAAGGAGGGGGGGGGGCTTTCCTAGCAGCAGGAGAGCACATGTTTGGCCTGTCCAAGTCTCCAGCAGCCCACCTACCCATCTCGCCTGGGAAATGCCGCTCCCCAGCCCAGGATCACGGGAAACTCTCATTGGCTTCTCACGCTCCCAAAATTTGGTATGTCCAATAACACTTGGCCCATTTTATCCAACTGTATCCTATTCTATCCTATCCAGTGGTGGGATTCAATTTTTTTTTACTGTGGGCGTGGCTTGGTGGGTGTGGCAGAGGAAGGATATACTGCAAAATCCCCCTTCCCTCCCCACCCCACTAACCTGCTTTCCAGCTCCGTTCTCCTGTGCGGGGCAACCAAAGGAGATCCAGCCGATCATCTGGGACTCAATGGGAGGCGGGGAAGAGATGGGGTTGGCGGGGCCAGTCAGAGGTGGGATTTTCCGGTTCTCCGAACTACTCAAAATTTCTGCTACCGGTTCTCCAGAACTGGTCAGAACCTGCTGACTACCCACCTCTGATCCTATCCTATGCCTTGTCTTCTCAGACAGATCCAGGATTCCCACCTGCTGTCTTGGGATTCTGGGAGCTTCTGTCTGGCCCTGAGATCCAAAGATCCTGAGCATAGTTTTGCGCAGAAACCCCCCCCGAGGGACGTTGGGTTCTTGTCCCAGGAGAATCGGGGAGCTAAATTTAGAGGGGGGGGGTTCAGTTTAGGCTCCTTCCCTTCTGGGTCAACTTTGACCCGCTGGAAATACTGCATTTCACTGGCTTGGGGGGTGGGGGAGGGGTGTCCCTGGGTCTTTGGATGGGGAGCTTTGCAACCCTCTCTCTCTCTGATGGGCCAAGGCGAGGCATCCCCCATAGAGGGGTGAGATTCCCCACCCTCACCCCGCATTGGCTACCTGGTGGGATTTCCCTTGGCCGCCAACTCGGGATTCTGGGACAGTTTTGCCATCGATGCCGCTTAAAGCATCAGGCGGGGAGGACCCGCGATGCCCCTCGGTGCCTTCCAGGTGGGGTGACCTTCAAGCCCCCCTCTCCGCCCCTGCTATCCCCTCCCTCTTGCCCCTGGCCTGCTCCAGCGGTTTGCCCTCCCCCGGGCTGCAACGAGGAGCCCCGGTCCCAGCCCCTCCTCACTTAGCCCGAGTTCTCCTCGGCTCTGCTCGGCTGCTGCTCGGGAGGGGAGGGCCGGGCTCCGCGGCGGGTCCAAGGGCAGCCCTCCCCCCCCACCGCCTCCCCCGGGGCATTTCCTCTCGGCGTCAAGGAGGCGCAGCGGCGGGAGGGGGGGGAGCAGCGGCGTCCCCTCCGGCCTTGGCGGGCGGCCCGACCCTCCCCACCTCCCGCCAAGTCGGCGGGGGGGGGGGGGGGGGGGGCCGGCCCCGGCGGGCGGGGGCTTGGCTGGCCGGGGAAGCGCGGCTGGTGGTGGGGCGGAGACCCTCCTCCGGGAGGGCGGGGGCCAGGCAGCAGCAGCGGCAGCGGCAGCAGCAGCCAGCCCGCCGGCGCGATGGCGCTTCCGAGTTCGCAGCCAAACTTTGCACAGGCGGCGGCGGCGGCGGCTCCTCCTCAGGCCGGGCGAAGGGAACGCTAGAGCGGCCGCGGCTGGCGAAGGGCCCTCGCCTCCGGCCGCAGCAGGACAGCAGCCCGCGCCCGTCCCGGAGCCTCCCCAGCGCCGGCGGAGCAGCAGCAGCAGCAGCAACGGCGGCGGCGGGGCGGCTGCAGCCGGGAGCCCGCTAAGCGCCGCCAACTCCCCGCCCCGCTCGCTCCGGCCGCCCGGCGCCTCCAAGATGAGCGGCCGGCCCGGGGGAGCCCCTTCCAGCCGCCGCCGCCACCCCCGCTCCTCCCGGCCACGATGAGCGCTTCTCCGCGGAAGGAGGCGCCGATCTCCCGCAAGCAGCGGCTCATGGCCGCGGTGGCGTCCGGGGACGAGGGTGCGGGGCCCTCGGCGGCGGCGGCGAGGAGCCGCTGCTGCCCGCCCGCGCCCGCGTCCCCGGCCGCCTCCTGCCCCCCCTCCGCCTCCTCCTCCGCCTCCACCGCCGCCGCCGCCGCGGCGCTCTGCTGCTTCATCTGCGGCGGCGGCATCAGCCGGGGCAAGGAGCTGCGGCTGCAAGTGCGGGCGGCCCGCGGCAACCAGCCCTTCTTCCCCTTCCTGCAGCACCAGGAGCCGGCGCCCGGCGCGCGGGAGGTGAGCGCCGAGGGCTGCGCCCTGGTCTGCGCCGTCTGCCGCTGCTTCCTGGCCGAGCAGTGGGACGCCTTCGAGCGGGCGCGGACGCCGGTGGAGAAGCGCATGTACTGGCTCAAGCGGCCCTACCAGTGCGAGGGACCCGCGGCGGCGGCGGCGGCGGCGGCGGGGGGCGGCGGGCTGCGCCGGGCGCCGCAGGAGTGGAACCTCGCCTACGCGCTGGGGACGGACGACGAGCGCCGGCCCGGCAGCAGCCCCGACGGCGCCCGAGGAGCGGCCGCAGCGGCGCCGGCCAACGACTCCTCGCTCTCCTCGCTCTCGGACGCCGAGACCTGGTCGGAGACCGAGCCGCGCTTCCCCGCCGCGCCGCCCGGCCCCGAGGAGCGGAAGAGGCCGGGCGCGCATCTGTCCGCTCGGCCCCGCCAGGGGAGCCAGCTGCGGCCGCCCCCGGAAGAGGCGGCGGGGGCGGCCATCCCCTTTCACCCGGGGAACGGGCTGCCACTGGCTCCGAAGCCTCGCAGGAAGCGGCAGCGGCCGGTGCGGCGCCGGCCGAGCGGGGAGCCTCTTTGGAGCGCGGCCATGGACGGCTTGGGACGGTCGCGGGCGTCGCAAGCCGGCTTGGAAGCCAGGCGAGCGGAGGGGGCGGCGGGCGAGCGGGCCCGGCCGCCGTCGGACCGCTGCTCGTCGGAGGAGAGCGAGATCAACATCACCAGCGACGAGGAGCCCTGGACGGCGCCCAGCAACGGCGGCGGCGGCGGCAGCAGCAGCAGCACCGGGGCAGCCTCGGCGAGGGGGGCCGGCCTGGCCTGCTTCGTCTGCGGCTGCCCGCTGACTCCGGCCTCGCAGCACCGCATCCACGTGCAGAAGCAGGAGCGAGCCTCGCGGGCGCCCTTCTTCCCCTTCCTCTGGCTGCACAGCCCGCCGCCGGGCGCCCTCCCGCTCAGCCCCGCGGGCAGCGCCCTGGTCTGCCCGGCCTGCCACGCCTCGCTCATGCAGCAGTGGCACAGCTTCGAGGGCGCCGACGTGCCCGTCCTGCAGCGGCTCTACGTGGTGCCCCTGGCGGCCGCCCAGCCCCGCAGGGTCGGGCTGCCCAGAGAGGAAGGGCCTCCGGGGGCGCCGCTGCCCCGCTCGCCGGAAGCCTGCTACCTCTGCGGGGAGGACTGCACCCAGGACTGGCGCCCCGTCTCGGCCAAGGCCCCCAACGGCAGCTCCAAGGCGGCCATGCACTTCCCCTTCCTCAGCCGCCTGCCCTGCCCGCCACGTGCCAAGGGGCCCGACCAACGCTGCCAGGTGCACAGCTGCCCCCGCTGCTACCTGGTGCTGCAGGACCTGTGGGCCACCTACCGCGCCTGTGGAAACGAGCAATGCATCACTTCCGCGCAGAGCTTCCTGGGCAGGTACCAGCAGGTTTTCGCTGCTGTTGGGGAGGCCGAGGCCGCGGCCAGGACCCCAAGCTTGACCCAGACAGGCCTGGCCTCCAGCTGCTACGTCTGTGGTGCCCAGCTGGGCCCTGGTAAGGAGTTCCAAGTCAGCGTCAACCCTCCTGCCAGCCGCTTTGGCGAAAAGGAGCCCTTTTTCCCTTTCCTGGCCGTGTATCCGCCGGCTCCGCGGGCCAGGCCAGCCGATGCCACCGGGATCGTGGCCACCTGTGTGCTCTGCTACCATGACCTCCTGGCCCAGTGGCTGCAGCACGAACAGGGCAGTGTCCAGCACCCCAGCAGCGCCTGGTCCCGGCAGTACAAGGTGGACACCTTTGCTTGCTTCTTCTGCCGGCAAGAGAAGAAACGGCACCTTGGATTAAGAGCGGTGCCGGTGACCCGGCTGCCCATCTTCCTGGGCTCCTTCCGGGGACCAGGGACCCTGCTGGTGGATGACGGCAAGCGGCTGACCATCGGCGCTTGCCCAGAATGCGCCGTGGTGGTGCTGGCAGGCAAATCGGCCGTGACCAGGGATCTTTTGGCTTTGCCCGTAACTGCACCTCTGCCTCTCCAAAAGGTAAGCTTCGGGTTGGCCTTCGGGTGGGGCCTGGCGGCCTGGCACCGCCATAGGAAAGGCCGTGGCTCTTCAGCAGGTGCCTTTGAGCCAAGATGTGTCTCCAGCATCAATGTTCAGGCAATGAGTTTTTTTGTCCAGGTGTGTGAGAACGCTGGGGCGTGTTATTGCACGAAGCCATTGTTTTGAAGCACGGGTGCTGCTCTCGTTTTGCATCCTAATCATTTGGAGAAAAAAAAACCCTTTTGCTTTTTAGCTCTGTGCTGCACATCATTTCTGGAGTCCCCCAGAAAGGTGCTTTTTTAAGAGGCAGCTGGACTTTCTGGAAAAAGCACCTTTGGGACAACCATGGCCTGGAGAACGGAGACTCTCCACAGACCACATTTCTGGAAGGAGCAGGTCCCGTTTTGCCAGCCCATCTTGAGTCCTGCACAAGGCAGAGCAATTGCCCAGCAAAGCCCCAAGAGTCATAGTTGGCAGGCGAGGGTTTGATGGATTATGCGCAGACATTCCCTGTGGTTTGGGTCCTTTGCGGCAAAGGCTTTTAAGGGTGGCCTCCAGTTCTTTGCAAGGAAATGGTTTTGCTCAGCTGGGAAGGTGAGGGAGCACCAAAGGGCAAATCCTTGATGGACCTGGCTTGGTTTCACTCTGGTTGCCCTCTTAAGCGAGCAAACAAGGTAGCAAGACTTCGTAGGGTTCTTTGGCCTGATTGCTCTGAGCAGCATCCTTAGGTAGTCTAGAGAGGGCTGCTCTGTTGACCGCAGAGAATGCTTTAAAAATAACACACACACACACACACATTTACACACGCTTACCACACACACACACACACACACAGGGCTACCTTCCCTGTAGTAGCCTCCCCTCTTCACAAGGCTCTTCCCAGAGACACCTGTAGCCTTTGATCCTGGTCACCTTCCATAATAATGAAAAGCGCTTGTCTGTCAGCAAGGCCTTGGTCCAGGTTGATTGAGGGAGGACACCCCGTCATGTGGATTGGCTCAAAGAAGTTTCACCTCCGCTTGTAATATGATTTGTTGCCTAGAGACCTTTGTGATAAGCAACTTTTATGTCGGTGACAAAGTTGAAAGGAATTATGGCCAGCCACAATAGCCATAAAAGGAAGAGCATCCCAGGAATACCTTGGAGAGAAACGGAGCTCCTCGGAGTAGGACAGGGGACCCCAAACTTGGCAACTTTGAGACTTGTGGACATCAACTCCTAGAATGGCTGGCTGGAGAATTCTGGGAGTTGAAGTCCACAAGTC